TACTGTTGATAATTGGAGAACCGGAGTGCTGAGAAAAGCCTCCTAAACGCTGCTCAATCTGAAATTGATGTCGCCCTCCCTGCCTCGCTCTTTAACAGTTTGAGCCTAGTAAATGCAGTTACTGTCATGTATGCCTGACACATCGATGAGAAAAAAAAATCTATTGATGGAAAAACATGGGTGAGTATATTTGGGATGCCAGCTGACCTAGTTTTTCAGGCGCACACCAATACACAACGAAGCCCTCCCAAATCAAAATGGTCTTTTTTTTTTTTTTTGCACTGGTGAAATTTCCTATACCCTTTTTAATCTTGATTTAAAAATCAGGGTTGCAAGGGGCCAGAGGCCTATCCCAGCAATCATTGCAAAAGAGATGGGGGGGGCACCCTGGACTATTCATCACACAACGCACACAACTATTCAAGTACACATTCACACTTATAGCCTTACATGCATGCTTTTGGGGAATTGGAGGAAGCCGGAAAAAAACCCATAAATACATGGAGGGAACATTCAAAATCCACATAGAAATGCAAGAGTATACAAATATACCGAACTAGACTGAATTGGATTACCTGTCAATAGAATTGCATTGAACTGGTTTACTCTATCTTTAAGTCAGACAACTTCTGGGAACTCTTAGCCCCTGGAGCTGAATTTGCAAACAAGAGTGCAGCAGAAGTTAATTAATACAGAGAATGATACTGTCTACCCTCTTTATAATTTAGTGTTATGATCCATCCATCCATACTGCGCATTCCCAGTAAGATCATGCGAGGGGGATGGGGGTAGGGGCATCGTTCTTATTTTTCTTTGATAAAGTATTTTTTAATTCATTAAAGAATACATTAATTACATTTTCTAAATGATATCAAAAGTAATGATGCAGTTACTGAGAGATACATATCGCCCAATTAGGTGAATAATATCTCTTTAATGTTCTTGTTTTGTTTCAAGGCCTCTGGTGCTTTCTGTGTTTTTCACAGAAAAAGAAATCACAAACAGCAAAAAAGACGTTACTTTCCATATAATGACTTCACTTACAGCCCACACAGATGCCCACTCACACATCTACAGACCCACCGGTTCCTAATCATTCATACTCAGCCTCAGTCAGAGGCTGGAATGGATGACTTGGATTTGAAACTGGTGAAGAATAGATTTCTTGGTGGCTAAGAGACTTAAGAGTGCGCACACTGTCAGTGTTGTGGGGGCTGTTTCTATAATCACACTGAATAGAACTGCTACCCTTATGCGGCAAAAACCAAGTATGCATGAAGTTTTGGGTTTATTTAGAGGTAAATGTAATGAATAATGAAAATAGGTAGTGAATTATGCAAATATTTGCCACATTCATGCTTTCTCGCAATTCCAGCCTTGGATAGACTGCAGAATAATGCTGAAAAAGAAACAATGAGTGAAGCATTTTCCCCTCGAGGGAAAGTCTGGGTAAGGATTGCTGCAAAAGCACTATTCTGTTGACTCGCATGTTGCTTTCCTTAAAAAATATAGTTTAATTTGCCATCATATCCTGCCACCAGCTATACAAGTGTATCTCCAGTTTTGGAAATGTATTTCCATAACAGAATATGCTGCTGTAATAAATGATGAAGTAGTTTGGAAGAAATCGTGAGCATATTTCCTGAAAATCTATAAAGTACAGGTGAGAAAATTGACAAGGAATGAGGCTGGAAGAAGACAGAAGGGGGTAAGGGGAGAGGTAGAGAGGGTCTGGATCTATTTGTTTTATGACTTTAACAACTAAAAGTCTGAGACCATCTGTGGAAAACAGCAAAAAAAAGCCCATTCTCTCTGTCTGAAGAGTCATAAACACCAACATATAGAGGAAGAAGCAACAAAAAGCCTCATGCTGTGCCCACTCATGCTACCAGCGTTTTGTCAGACTTAATGGCATAAGAAGGGTGTTCCGAACTTTAAGCCAGCGCATAAATGACATTTCTGCACAAGAAAATTAAACTGGACTGGGCTTAAGAGGGTAGGAAAAAGAAAATAGTGTAGATAACAAAAAAAAAGCATCGATATTGCACATAGCAGTACGCTTTGCATGTTTTGATATTAGCACTCAAATGGGACTGTGTGAAGTGGGCAATTAACAATCTGACTTGAAGACTAAGTTTGCACGTTGTACTCTCCTTCCAAGATGATAAATGATAACAAACTGATCATGTAAATGATGGTGATGCTGTCCTTGATCAATTGTCCAACAAGCTGAATCTAGAATATGCTAATGAGTTTGAACTTTCTCAAGGTTTATTACATATAACCATAATATAATCATCAAAAATCCTAACTTTCAGACATACTAAATAGAAGAAGAGCAAAAAAATAGATGCACAAACTGTACAACAGAGAAATGTTAGTTTTTCATCCTCAAAAGCTGAACCGAGCACTTTCTGACTTCATACAAGGAATATAAATTTTTGTTGATCTCCAAGTATCAAAAATTAAGCCCAGTTGCAAAATCTTTATGACATAACAATACAAAGATAAATATATGTCTCTTCTAAGTACTTGTTTAGTCACTTTACGTAAGCACTCATGTACAAATTGAGGAAACGAGCTGCCAAGAAGATCATGTCCTTCCAAAAAGATGGATTTATTCAACGCTTACACAGAAAAACGAAACTATCCGCTTATCAACGTCATTGAAATCCACAGATACACACACACACACACACACACACACACACACACAGACACAGACAACTGCAGACAGTGGATGCATGACAAATCATACACCCTGTGCTCTCCACGGTGGGCTTTGCAGCATCCTTCAGTCCGCATCAATAACAAGCACATGATGAAACCGACAGCGCAGTAATCCGACAACCCCGGAAAAGGAAAGCCTTTGCAAACTTTTAGTACATGTCTGTGTGTGGAGATGGACCTACCTGAGGGAGAGTGGTGGGCTAAAGCAGTGAGCTGCGCTCTGTTTCTGACTGCAGTCTTGTACTGTGAGCTCTGCCGGCTGCTCTTTACTCTGATTGGACGGCTGGTAAAGGGAGGGCTCACTGGAGGCAGCCAATATCTGAGCGTTCCCTGACCAGTGTGCACTGATGATGATGGCAACTAATCTGGCTCTCAAGTAGACATTTCCACAACATTTCAAAGCATATGAGTTTACTAGCACATGTACGAATTCAGGTGCAGTTTGCTCATTTTTAAGAGGATCATTTTCTATTTGATGCAGTTAGATTCAAAGCTCATGCATAATAATGTGTTTAGTTTGAACCTCAGGTCGTGAGATTAGATTTAAGAGTCCACAAAAGTTTTGTCTGAGATACTGATAATTACAAAAACCTAAGACTAAAGTTTAAACAAAGTCAGTTTTGCCTCTGAAACAAAGTAGAGGCAAAACAATTATTTAACTCCAACTTTTCCTGAAAATCTTCCAAACTCATTTTAGGAAGTTTAGGAATTTAGGAATTGTTATACTTAAGGATAGGATAAAATATATAGTTAAAATAAATAAATTTCATGCTAACCAAAATGTCTTTCTGTACCTTTGGTTGGCCTGTCCATTTAAGTCAACTGTAAAAGTGTAAAGAACCTCTCTACAGCCATGTTTGGCCATCAAATGTTGTACAACACAATAAGGAGATTTTGATTAGTTGTTAATTTTCTGGTTTACACATTTGATATACAGTGTTTTGACTTCTTTTTTTTATTATTTGGGTTGTTTAGTGTTCAGTTTTCAGTTTTGAAGGAACCATTTCTTTTTACATCCATTCCACACTTTTTCATAATGAGTGATGATTGTCATTTATTTATTTAATCTTAAGAGTTTGAACAGGGCCAACTGGACCAAAAAGAAAAATGTTCATTATAAGATATTTAAGGCTGTAGCTAAATCTAAAATGTTAAAGCTACTGGTAATGACTGCCATATTTTGCTTTAAAAAAAAAAAAAATGGCAAACTACAAATCCTTCCACAACTAAACGCAAAGAAGGAGCAATGTGATGATTTTGATTTATAGACAGAGATTATGATTTTTTTTGCTCAACTTTAGTTCAGTTCTCCATAATAATAGTTTAGTTTATATAGCAATTCAGTTAAGTTTGATTTGTATATATACCCCGAAATATCAGCAAACGTCCCGTCAAGGCTCTTCAAAGATACAATCCAAAGCTAAATCTGGAACACTCATGCCAACATAAAACCGATTAAGTGCATTTTGCAAACATCACTGATACATTTTATTTTTAAAGAAAGAAGTTTTTCTTATGAGATACAATACTAAACTACTAATGAAGCTGCTTTAAAGTTGAAAGTTGGAGATTCTCCAGGTTATTCAGTCTGTTTAAGAGGGAACATTAATCATGTCCACCCATGATGAGAAGAGCATTAAACATTGAATCAAATAATATTGATTTTTTAAATAAAAATGTGTTTGTCTATAATAAAACCGTAGAATGAGCTCACAGAGTACTTCAGTAAAGCAAAAATTAAAGAGACAGACTCCCTCTGAATACTGAGCTGCAATGACAGTAATTATAATGGATGGCCATGTTTCTTTCTTCACAGTTTTTTTTCTCGTGCATAAGAAATTGCGGTTATGCAACAGTATTTTTTCCACTCCCCTCTATGTAGTCGCCCCTTTTTTCACATTCCTGCTCACAAACATAAAGGAACAGAGAACGACCAAGGACAAATGCTTTACGTGAGCAGCAGAAAAACAGCGATGTTCTGCCGTCGCAGCTGCCACTTCCTGCAGACGGAACTGTGAGCAGACCTGCTGCTCACACACACACACACACACACACACACACACACACACACACACACACGCATACACACAGATGCCTCTGTGAAAGCCCTGTGATTTGGTGTTTTTTTTGTACGTCTAATCTCTTATATTCCATGTCGGAATTTTTTAGACAGGTCTTCGTGTTTACATTGTTATTCTTATAATAATCTTCTTATAATCATTAGCATTATTGTCATCATTGTTGTCAAAACAAACATTACAGTCAATATTGGATGATTTATTTATTTTTTTTAATTGTCAAATCAGCAACAGTACTGTTAGTAACAAAGTTACATTTAAATAAAAAAACACTTTCTCGCTCACATGTCAAAGCATGGAGTTGACAAAAATCATCAAATATATTTGCCATTTGAAACGTTCTGAAGGTTGTGTTCACACACATATTACCGTCTGTGCAGCTGTGCTACAACTCTGAGGCTTTCTATGACATGCTCAGTGGGTCTGTTTTGTCTTTTTTTAACAAAAGAACAATTGTTACTACTTATGAGGTAAGTTTAGGATTATTCCATATGATGCATGACTGCAAGTATACTGACACTTAAGCTAGTTAAGAAAAGAAAAAAAGAGGAAACAGACCTACAGTTAGCAATTAAGAAAAGGTCTCTTAATAATGCTTTTAGCCCTGTTGTATGATATTGTATCAAGGAACTGTTGGAATTTTTTACAAAGTTACAATTTCTCAAAACTGTATTTCAATAGACATTTTGAGATAATTGATAGCTAATTCAATTAATTTAAACTTTTTGATTTTGAAGAGCACCTTTCAAAGCATTTACAAAGAAATAAATAAAACCTGTTAAGTTTAATTAGGTCATGTAATGAAAGTAATTGGCCAGAAGATGGCAACAAAACTATTCTAATCCCAAAGCCCAAAGCACCAACGGAAGATGGAAAAGCAGCAATAATCTCTCCACCCCTGCATTTTTCACAGTGAAAATGTTTTTTATCTCCCGGATGAAGAGGATGTCCTCTTTTCTAAATTAATACTGCCTGTGTTGGAGGCTCTACCAGCTCCCTGCCCTGGTAAATAAGAGCTGGGCTTTCCTGGTTTGTGGATGAATGTTGGCTTGTGGAGCTCTAAATCCTCCCAGTCTGTGGCGGTATCTTCAATAATGTCTCCCCAACTGGTCACCGTGGCTATTCCCACTTTGGGCTGGAACACTTTGCTTCTGTATCCCTCTGGGTGGTACGAAAGATATTCCTCGCTGTCGTTTTTCTGTGTGACACATTCGTTCTGATCATCGTCCTCACCGTTGCCGATAATGACCAGTTCAGCTTGGATGCCTTCATCTTCATCCACAGCATTCTCATAGCCCATAAAAATCATGGTGATGGATTCTGATTCCGGCTCTTCCGGAAGCTTCTGAGGAGCACCACGCTCTGCACCGGTGGCCTGGCGCCTGTCGCCGGTACCCAAACTCTCCAGGTCAGCTCCAGGTCTGGGGTTGGCTGTTGAGGGACTATGGCTCCTTAGACCTCTGTAAAGGGTCTGCACGGGGGCGGGCATCCCGTCAGACCTGACCGTCACCGCAACGGGAGCCGCGGGACTTTTCCCGCCGGCGTCCATTTTGCCATTATTGAGTTGAGCTTTGGGACTAACATTTGGCTGAGCAATAGGACCTGTGGAATTCTTGGGGTTTGCTTGGATCTTATGGGCCACTTGTTCTTCCTGGTCTTGATTGCACTTGTTTTCTTTTTTGAGAAGTTGGGATCCATTTTTAAGGGAGATTCCACTGTCTCTCACTGCTACCTTTGGCGTTCCGGGTGTGGACGGTTTGCTGCCTCCTGCATAAGCAGCAGAGTACACGGGGGGGTGGTACTGCACCTCGGTGGGAACCTTTTCTTCTGTGGCCTGATGCAGAAGCTGGTCCACTTCAGTTGGAGTCATCTCTCCCACCACTCCGCCGTGCATTTTTTCCCCACCTGACTGCAGCGCGTACACAGATTTGCGCCCGTCATCATACACCTTTAAACCCCTCTCTTGCATGGTTTCTGGGCTTATAGTTGTTGTAGACAACACCTGATTTTTACCCGTTTTCTTATCATGTTCCACACTGATTTCAATAGCAAAAGTAGCTGGAACAGAAAGACAAACAAACAAAAAATAAGACCAAATAACAGAAGTGTGACGTGATTACATAAAAAGCTCAATTTAAAATAAGATGTTTTGTTATGTCAATTGATAGAATTTCTTTTTTATAAAAGTTTGGAAATGTGCAGTTTCAGAGAAATTTAAACGCTTTTTGGCTTGTGTTTTTATGAAAATGTAAAGCTACAGTTTTTTAAATAACACAAAGGAACCAAGAGGTCGTTTCTGTCAAGAAATCTGGACAACCTTGCACTTAGAGTAAATAATTACTAATATAAAAAGACGTTCATTTTTCTGCTGCTCCAGTTGTCATACCTCTTTTTGTTTCATCACTACCAGATTCACATACTGGACGGGCTTTTGCTTTGGCCTTTGGGAGGAACAATGGCATATCTGGGAATGGTGATGGGGCATGATGTGTCACATCTAAGATAAAAGAATATTGTGAGTTCAATAAAAAATGACAAAGACAAGAACAGCGATTTACAAAAAATATATAAAAATTATTTTAGTATAGCAACATCGATACTAAATGATGGGGCGTTTTAACAATTAACAATTATGATGTAATTGTTATTAGTATGTTAGATAACATGTTTATGTAGCCTGAACATATTTTACTTTTCTCAAAATCTATGAATAAAAATGGACAAATCCAATAGCAGTGGTGGTGGTAGTAGTAGTGGTAGTAGTAGTAGTATTAAGTAGTAGTATTAACTAGTAGTAGTAGTAGTATTAAGTAGTAGTATTAACTAGTAGTAGTAGTATTAAGTAGTAGTATTAACTAGTATAGGAATGCTTGGAGAGTTTTTACCTGCCTGGAACTGTGCGTTTAGGTCCTATATATGAAGACAGAGTAGATGAGGATCAAAGTTGGCTTAGTAGCAAGACTTTAAAATGAATGCAGAACAATGGATTGATTTTTTTGTTTAGTTTTTTCGTATCAGCGGTTTGTAAATATGAAGTCTCAAAATCCCAGTGAATGAAACGGCTGCGTTCTTGATTCTTAATTCAGACGACCAAAGCCCAGTCATGCGTTGTTAGTCTTCACACTGCAAACCATGTGAGCCGTTTATTGACCTACCATCTCACACACGTGGAGCAGCCTCTGGTGAATCATAGCAAACCCACACAGTCCTGAGTGAGCGCTTCATGTTAGAAACAACCAGACATTAGAGACAGAGCCACCAGCAGCATGCAGTGAGTACAAAACATTGATAGTCAGCGTTTGGTATTCAAGTTTGCCATATAAAAACAATAAAAGGAATAAGATTGTGTTCAAACAACATCAAATCTCAGCCCCCGCCCCGCCAAAAAACAGAATAAAATAAAAAAAATGCAACAACACTTACATTTTCAATCGGATAAGTAGTGGCAACATGCAAACTTTGCTTTGTTTTCATATTTTCCACAACCTGACGCATTGGCAAGTTTTGAGCCTTTGAGGTCCTCTAAATCACAGATGGATTCAAACAGATTGTCTCCATAGTTGTCTCCATAAAGTTTTTTTTAGGTAGAGACAATGTCTGACTTCAGTCGGTGTTGGTCTATAGTTGAGTAAATTTTTGCAATGCCCATTTGTTGTATAACAAATTACACACACAAAAACAACAGCGAAAAATGAAATATTTCCTGAAAGTCCATCTTCAAGTTGAGCTCTGTACTCGCAGACAATCTACCATGGGGCATTTAACATCCATACTATTGATTTTTCTTTGAAAATGTGCAGACTATGAATAGGACTGGGAGCAATAATCAGTCTCAATCTTATCTTCTGACATAGTTGCTATGCAATATTTATCCAGACAGAGTTTACCCTTTCCTTGTTGCTTGTGAGAGATAAAAAAAAATTGTTTGGGAAATAAGTAGGCAACGCTTAGGACTGCAGAGTGTCCATTCCTTTATCGTTTTATGTCAAAGGCCTGCAAAGTTGAGTGTGTTTTAGTCTGAGTGAGGATGTGTGTATTCTGAGATCAGACTTCAGATGACTAAGACTCTTGTTTAAAATAATAAATCCATATATATATGTATAAAACTGATGCTTGACTGAAGTCTGTTTAAATGTGATGTTTATAGTTCAGTTAATAAGCAACACACACCAGCGTTTTAGTAATTGATACAGCTCATCATCGGGTTATTTGAACCTACCTTGATGATGTCCTCAGCTGTCCTCTCCACTTCTTTTAATCGTTTCAAAACGGCCTCTTCGTTGGCAGAAATGCTGAGCTCTTGATCTTCTAAAACCTCAATCTCCTTCTCAATTCTGCAAAAGAGAGCGACACGCAGCGTTAATGGCTGTGCGATGGATTTACTGGCACGGCTGGAAGTCCCTGTCATTTGGGGCATTAGCAGGGAACACCAAGAATTCCTGGCCCATGATGGCGACTGGCAATCCGCTTTTACCAGCACAAACTCTCCTCCAGGTAGCCAACAATGAGCAGCTGATGAATATTCTGCCAGAGCCCACTTTTATGAACGACATAATGTTGTCGAATAAATCTCTGGAACATTGAATCCGTCCTTCCTGGACGTCTTTGGTGGACAAATTCAACTTCCCTACACTGTGGGATAACAATTAAAACACATTTTGCAGCAATGCCAAGTTTGCCAAATGCAATCCATTTAAATCTGCAGTTAAAGGTGATTCATGAGGTTGCTCGAGTTTAAATAAAGAGTAAATTAGATCTTTACTTTATCATAAGTCTGTTTAAAAACAAAAACAAAAAAAAGACCAAATCTTCACAGTCTTAGAGATAGTTGGAAAAAACTGCCAAGATTGGAATTGACAGGACTGAATAAATCTGGGATCTAAAAATAATAATCTCCTGCTTATGATAACTGATTATAGGGCCATCCAACAGTTGATGTCAAAAAGATAAGCTGTGACAAAGCAAGGTCACAGCTTATCCTTTGCTGCATGCTTATAAAGCATGCTGCATGGTGGGAAAACCCTGTTTAAGCAAAGTCTGTCAAAGCCAGGAGAGCATTCTCTGGCATCTTCTTGGAGGTGTCCAGATGGTGACCATGAGAGCTGACCGAGAGATGGAACATATGGCCGTATCTGTTATTTACCACTGGTTAATAATATAGTCATGGAGAATACAACGATAAGTGACAGATTCTGAATTAAAATGAGCAAACCCTGAATCAAAGCTCCTTAAAGTAGAGGTCCAGGCATCTGAACCTTACATCATCCTCCTGGAAAGGCAGCTTTATCCTTTTTCTTTGTAGTGAATGTAAACAAACATCAACAATGAAAATTCTCATATACTTATAAGACAACATTTTATTCATGTAAAAATTCAAGATCTGGACAAAAAAAAGTTTTCTAGACATTTGAAATTAATTTTGAAACCCTTCAAAATGATTTAAAAAGGCTGAAATACAGTTTTGCATTGTTCTATCACCCGTGTTGCAGAGGGACCAGATATGCCATCAACACAAATACAATTTTAGCTTAAGTATCTTTGCACAAATCTTTTCTACAAAAATAATCTGGATTTACACTTCTTATTAAGGGACTAGGATGTGAAATTTGCTCTAATTAAAATGGGAATTTGAGAATCTAGGCATAATTTTGGTCTTGGGGATCATATTTCCATCACACACTTGCACGCTGATCTCTGATGTCATTACAGAATACGCCAGTTGAGGAGCATTTATGAGATGTATTTCTTATCATTAGATCAACTGTAATTTTCTTTAAACTATCTCTAAGGTAGGCAGTCCATATGTCAACTATTCATAAGGAATTCAAAACAATAGAAACATTCTAATATATCTGATATGGATTTAAACAAAAGCTATTTAATAAGAAAAATTCAAATATTTTTTAATTGGAAAATTCTGTTTCTGAATCCATTGAAGGCTCTCTATTTGCTCATGTGGATCGTAAATCTTCAGCTGATGACGTTGGCTGTGAGGTCCTGATGTGCATTAATGGCTCATCAGAACAAGGAAATAAATGCAAAATAAATGAGCAAGGGCATAAATACCACTGCGGTTTTGAATACTTATGTCGATGATTAAATGCAAACCTCTGCATGAGGGACCGTACATTTTCCTGTCAGACTGCAAAGTTTGCGTGGAAAGTGGCCTACACCATTTTTAGGCCCGTTTTTTTTTAGGTAGGCAACTTGTATAAATGGGATTGCAGGGGTCTTTTCTCTAAGGTCATCATTACCAACCATCAGCTGGCTCATTTGCATACAAACTACCTTTGTTATCTTTTTAATGTTACTATTTGTCTTTTTCTTTATCATTGCAATTCACAACAGATGATATCTTAAGATATTTTACCAAAAAAAAACTACAATTTCATCAACATGTGATTCCCTTCAGTAAAAAACAAAACAAAAAGTTATAGATGTGCAAAAAACGATGGGATGCTTTGTAAAATGTAAATATGAGCAATGTAAGATCAGTGTTGAAATGGGAAGCTGTGGTTTGTTAAATGGTTGATGGAGAGGCTGTTATGCTGCCATCTGTTTTATCTGATAGCTGTTAGAGAGCATTTGAGATTAGACAAGTAATTATCTGCCCTTAATCACACAACTTAATTCAATAATTGTGACATGATTAAAAGGATAAGACAATTATTTGAATTCAAGATGCTTCTGCTACTGTGTTACATTATCATGGGGCTTGTCCTACATACAAAGTGCTTAAGACACTTAACAAATGCTGTTACACATCACTGGAACTAAGCAATTCCATATACTTTTCTATAACCAAAAAAACTTTCCGGATTTAAATTTTTTTTTAAACTCCTTATGACTTGGTTACAGACTTAATCTCAATTTTTTTTGTTCCACATTAACCACCATAAATTCAATCTAAATTGAATTTAATTGGCAAATGCAATATTCGTTATTATCTATGCGATGCTCATATGATTTATATGCACCACAGACTCTTAACAGGATGAATTCTGTGTGGGAAACTGTGACAGGCTGAGGTCTGGACATGCTTTGGGGGTCTGGGTACCTGAGGATGTTGCTCTGCAGCTCATCACTCTGCTGCTGCTCTCCTTCTGCCTGCAGCCTCATGGCCTCCTGGTCCTCCTCCGATACCTGACTCAGACCATCCATAAGCCACTGCTCCCTCAGGGCTTTTTTCTGTCGGTCAGAAATATACACAAGTAAAAAACACAGTAACACACCTAGATGGAACTGAATCCATCCATTTAATATATATATATATATATTTATTATATAAAGATATTTCCATTGGCATTAACACTGACAATATTTGAAATGATGGAACTTTCATTTGGTTTGATTTGAGAACAATATTGAGAACAATATTATGAAGTAGCTTTGTAGAAGCAAAGAGAGAAGGAATACCGTGTTGTTGTTAGCTTTTATACAATAAAGCAAAAAACAAAACTCATTACTCATTACTCATAGGAGTTCTTAGTTTCATTGTTTATTGTCTGACTTACACATTTCTGATCTTCTCTGTTTTGCATTCGAATAATAAAATTTATATAATAAACTATAAATGGCAAACCCATTTAAATATTTCATTTTGAGTGTCTTTCTACTGTTACAGATTGTAGTTTAAGATGTATATATTATACATATAATTATAGTTGCAACAGGTATATTTTTAATGACAAACAAATATTCTCCAATATTTGTTATTTCTTTTTATTATGATTATTCTTGGTATTCAATTATTTCAAGTTAGCTGCAGTCAAGCAAACCAGGATTGATGTAGCCATTATGGAATTAATGTAAACTGATTGACTGATTCGCTCTTCTCTGCCCCTGTGTGTTTTTGTATTTTGTGAAGCCAAAACGTCAGATAGATTAAATGCCCATTCTCATAAAAGAATAAATCATGGGTGAGACAAAAAGTAAAACCGTAATAAGTGTATTATCCAGTATGAGAAATCATACCTGAGAATTGGGTTTTAGCTCAGACGGAGAAGCCAGTCTGTGTTTTAGCCATGGAAGCCATCTCCATTTTTACCTCATTGTGTTCACTTTATGACATCAATACGTGGACAATTGATGTAAGGCATTTAAAACAAGGTTTTATTTCAATCTGTGTTATTTCTGCTTTGGATGAGTGACGTAATATTTAAAATTGACAGCGTATGTGATCAAATTTGATAATACTGGACATTATGAGCATAATTAGCTTTTTATGAATACTTCGAATTAATTACATTATTATTAGAGGTGCCTGGACTCTCCCAACAAGGCATGGCTCAGTTTGTGATAGACTGACCTACACCAGAAAGTAAAAGACAATGCAAATTAAGCAAAATGACCTTTTTTGTCTGTTTAAATGTTTTTGCAGTCTATTCAAAAGCATTTACTTGTTTGCATGCCACTCTCAAAAAAGCAAAATACAGGAATTTGGTCATGTGTGAAGCGTTTTATGACATAAGCTGTTTTATGTTTTGTTTTACTGATAGTCACATGGACAATATCCACTTCAGGTCAATGTAATTGTCAGCTTTGTTCTGTCTTCATTTATGTTCATTTAAAAAAGTTATGAATATATTTTCTGTGGAAATTGTCCAATCAGCTTTATTAGAAAGCTGTCTTCTCTTGAGTAGATTGGCCTTGTGAGGAGTTTAGAAATACCTTTATGTACTGGAGTTTCAGTTTCTCTTCTTCTATCTGTCTCCTTTTCTTGGCGATGTCTTCCTGGATTCTTCTTTTGTCCTGTGAGAACAGATCACACGTTTGCACCTTGAGCACATTTTGCCGCGCGGAAACTATTCCACCTGTTGCCTTCTCATGCTGACTGTTCCAACCTTCAGCTGACAGTTGGGCTCCAAAAGCCATAAATAGCTAAAATGCACAGCAGCCTACGTGACTTTGAGTATACCTGTTGTTTGTGTGGGTGAGTCCAACTGTTTCCGACCCCCCTGACAACCTCCCTTACTTAAGACTTTTCCCTGTGGAGGATGCTAGTCTTCATGCGGTCTCTAAAACGTTGGATCATTTACATTATTCTCTGATTTTACAGATGAATACATTGCTTTAATAATGAAATGCTTTGAAGCGTACCGTCTGTGGCGGGACAGCACACTGAGGGGGGGGTAGGATCAGTGTTGCACCTAGCCTCAGTGAAAGGCGATCCCCCCCGATGATGTCTGCTTATATTTATAGTCATCTGTCTTTCTGTCTGACTCAGCTAGGACACTTTGCTAAAATGTCTGGTCCAGGAAATTCATTTAAAAAAGACAGGCGTCCTAATCGTGTGTTTGTTTCCCCCCATCATGCTACTGGTGGATGGGGTACACATTAAAGTCCAGTACCTCATGCTGTTGATGTAGGCGACTTTTCACAATTAGGTCTATACTCAGTTTTTAAAGAAATAAAAGTTCAGTTTTGGGTAATCAAAGGAGGCAAAGTAATTTTGTTCAGCATAGCACAGTATTCAATTCTGTTGCCATAATGCTGAACAGGACAAGGTAAAAAAATAAAAAAATAAAAAGAAATTGTAATAAATAAAATACATAAATAAACGTTCTTAATGAGCTTATGGGCATTGACTACTACAGAGGTGAACATAATGTGGCCTGAACTGAATAATTTTATTTGCTGTAGTATAAGAAAACTGGTTAAAACCACATCTCATGGAGAAAAGCTACCATTAGTCTGTTTTTATGTAATTTTTTGGAGTATTTGCATTTTGTTTGCCTTATAAGAATTATAAGCCGTATAGCTTCAATATAAGGGGAGCTGACTGGCCCAATTAAAGCCAGAACTCTGAAAGTTTTCCTCTTTGGAGCACTTTTATCCCACAAGACTCCCACTGTTTTTATTTTCAGACTGCTTGGTAACTAAGTCATGACATCTAGCTTAGACAAAATATCACAGCACTGAATCACTCCAATGCAGCAAATTATATTGTTAGAATATACCCTTTCCTCCATATAAGGGAAGAAAAAGCTGAATTCTGTCAACATTCAGGGTTTATCTTAGAAGGTTAAAGCTAAGTATGGACTCCACACCTCTAACAACCAATAAAAAGATCAGCTTAGAAGAAATAAATAACTCTTGTTTGTCAAAAATATGAATAACTATCAATATGCATGTGTGATAGGCTTAACTGATCTTTACCGTGATTGCCTGGAGCCTCTCCTTCAGCAGGTCAGCCTCCTCCATGGTTGCGTGTGTGACAGTCGGAATGCGTGACGGCTGATTAGCTGAACCTGGACACAACATGCCAAATATTTGATGAGATTGCAACAAAATTCATCATGTAAGTGGAAACAACGGAAGGTACATACAGTACAATGCATTAATTCAATAACAGTTAAATAATAGTTCAAATGGAATGTAGTATGTGTAGTATGTAGTATGTTCATTAATATATGTTAAGTCAATATACTTGGCATCAATTATATTATATTTATCGATTACATGAGTTAAAGTCTGAAGGCTGAGGCTCATCCAGTAAACCTGTTTCACTGGTGTTTGAATACTCGTGATCATACCTCTATCATCGTCCTATTTTATGATGGCATAAAACTTCACTATGTTTCCATCGAGTCACTTAAACGTTCAACAGTAGACACTAGCCTTCACAAGTTGTGTTTCTACCTGCCACAAATGATCTACTGCAGCCCGCTGGAGCTCATAATGTGGACTTGGACATATGGACTTTAACAGGGCAGGAGAATTCTCATGCCAGCGTTACGTGTCAGGGGAATGGATGATCCAAGCCCGAGGAATGTAACGACCACTGTAACAGGACTGTGTCGGCACTCGGTGTTACGATCCAACGCAGTAAATCACAGAAGAGGAGAATGATAACTGAAGGCCCAGACACACCTGACCCTGTGCAAAGAGACACCGGCGCTGTCTGAAAAGAGCACCGAGTTCACAACAAACATGAAATATACATGATACAGACAACATATATATGAAATATGAAATTCATAGAATGTTCACTATTCCTCTGAAACAGAGGATGTACTTAAAAAACACAGAGGCAAATAACTCGATCAGCCCAAAACAGAATCCCACATGTTTCCCCTTGTTTGTTGGGATCCACTGGCTACCCTTAGTCACCCTTTTTGATGACCACAAAGTCCTTATGGGTACGATCATGTCCCAACTCGGCCACTCCGGTTATCAAGCTGAACCTACACCACACCTAAAACCATCCCGATTCTTTTAATGTGTCGTTCCACGATGGTGGGATGACCTACCGAGCGCTACAAAGAGAGGCTTCATTTCCGTTTCATGTTCCTAAAATCTGGATCAGTCCTCCAGAAGAGGTGAGACAGGCCTCAACTCTGACGAAGTTTAAATCCAGGCTGAAAACGGTTTTGTTTAGCTGTGCGTATCGAAACTGAATATATTCTATCTGCCCGTGTATTGTTTCTGCATTTTCTTTCTGCTTTTAAATTCTTTTTAAAGCACTTTGAATTGTCTTGTTCACAAAATGTGCTGTACAGATAAACTTTCCTTGCCCTACGTCAACAGGGGCGTACCTGTGTATCTTAAAGAAACTCTTGAAAAACCAACTCCTCAGAGAGCATCTCCTATCCTAATTCCTACTGTGTGGCTCCTCTGCCTCCTTTACTGCACTTTCTTTCTGTACTTCCCTCTATCTCTACACTACCCCACTGCTGTTGCCTCTAAAAGGGTCTGACCAGTGATTTCCTTCTCTGTAGCTGATTGTTAGCCTGATGTTAACTGTAATTTTGTATTTAAATTGTAAGTCTCTCTGGATTAAGCCATTCTAAATGCATTAAAAAACCCTGTATGAAGTCAAAACAATCACGGGAAAAAATATTTTATGTTTCAGTTAATCAAAATGCTGTATTCCATGAGAAAGTTCCTGTCAGTGGGAGCTACAGAAGTGTCAAAGTAGCTGAGCATCAAAAACTGCAGTTGCTTTCAAAGTTACGTATTTCTATTCCAGGAGGAAACCCACTTTGAGAAGATATTGCTATCTCCTCTAAGCTACTTCTATAACTGGTTTCAGCTCACAGACTTTCTCAATTGTTTTTTTAACAAACTATTTGATGCCACACAGGGGTTCCCATAGCTCTGTCAAAGCTTTTTGAAAGACGTTATATTCAAATTCACGATGAGATAATAGTTTCATGGAATTGAATCAATGTTCTCAACGTTTAATGTTTTCTGTATTAGTGCTGTATTAGATTCTTTAATAACATTTGCAAATCGTAGCAGTCTTTTTTTCCCTTTTTGCCTACAGCATATCTTTCGAAAGTAAAGGAATCAGAATTTCCTCAAATCATTCTAAGTTAATTTAATGTGTAATCTCTGTTTTAGAATAAAAAAGATGACGTCTCCACACAGTTAATATATTTCTAATAACCTCCTTTTTTGTGACTAGAGCAGATGAAACACTTGTGGTGATAATGATTTGGCTCATCAGTGTTTCTAAGTAAACGCAGCCTCCACAAACAGATTGGTAATATTTTATATGATTTCAGGTTGGGATTATATTTCAGTAATACAAAATTAAATACTATAAGGGGACTTCTCTGATTAGGTTTACCATCTTTAATAAAGGTACCTTTAAAAAGAATATGTCTTAGAAACAATGTCTCTGCCATTACCTGAATAACGAGTAGCATAAAGTATTCGATGCAACAGAATTATAGAAAATAACAAGGGATATGATACCAATATTCAAATTTAATTCAAGTAATTGCAACGCTGAATGTGTTAATGATGTGTTTTCTCATTATATCAAAAGTAGACGCTTTAATTTACAACCACAAATAAATGTGGTTGTGTTTACACTTATTACATGAAATACACCATAGCTGCCACACAGCTCACTGGTACACATGTATAACAGTAAAATGATCACAATGTGTCACAATTTAATGGGATGGACAAACAAAGAGTGTTTGGATACAATGTGAATTTTAGCACAAAAAATTGTCAAATGGATAAAAGTTTTACTATATATTTTTTTCTTTGATTTTGGTTCCCATATAATAATCCTATTTTTAAGGTTTTTGTGAGAGTTGAATGCTTCTCTGCTGCAGAACAGTGTATTTGGTTCCAGACTTTATAAACTCTTTACAAAGAAAACGCCACGATACAAAACAAAAATGTACCGTACTCGTTCATATCTCCTCTAATAAGCTGTTGTCTTTGTTTAAGGACCTGGAACAACAGATTTCAATGCAAATATATGAAGCTCTTCAAGTCTTGATGATGTATGAAAGCTTTTATTCTACAAACCACATTAATCCTGTACGTGCAGTTTCTTAAGATTTATTTATTTATTTATTTAACAAAAAGACATCTAAAAACCAGAAGTCAGACATCTCTCTTCCTCATCCCTTAACTTCCCTTTCCAAACATCAGCAAGATCGCAAAAGATATAAAATGTGTGCATGAGCTTTTGTGGAAACTTAGCCGGACAACATGGAGGAGTTTAAAGTGGACCTGCATCATCTGTGAATGTAAAGCTCATTCTCAGCAACAACATTACAAACATTACAAATCTTGATTTAATCATTTCCATTCATTTCAAACTGATGTCAACATCTCATTCTAACAGATAACAACTGAACCTCACATTCCCCGGAGCCAGTGCTAACATGTTTGTAAAATGTATCTACATTTTGCTGTACAAACTAACTCACAACTACAAGGCATTTTTTCCTAAACCAGGAATCTATTAAAAAGTTTTTCCAAAAGCAGAGATTTCTGCTGAAATAAAAAAAGAACTATTGTAAATGTTGTCAACAGAACAGAAAATCTCCTCTGTTTGCACTTAGAATCATTTGGGGTCCATTAATGTTAATGGAGATCTTTTCTGCAAATGTAGGCGATTTGAATTTTTCGCATTCATGCTCAACCCCCCTACACACCTACACACCCGGACTAAAAGCTGCCTTTCACTCACAAATGACTAACACAGGCGCACCATTCATGCTTCTCCAGGAAAACCGGAGCTGTTTAATGTCCACTTCAAAATACCAAACCTCTCAGCTTGCAGTGACATGAAACTTCATTTTTTTTTACTCAACATAATTTTGCATTTAGTGACACATTTAAATCTATGATATCGATGCAGTTTGTATCGTACGAGATGAGCTGTGCAGTGTTTACAAGGCCAATGACAGTAGGCACTGCCTGACATAGCATTAGAAGGGATGTGAATTATGTAACTCTGAAAAATGGAAAAGGCAGATTGAACAAAACATGCATTTAATTCCCGGTTGCTGCATTGGGATCCGGGGGTCTAATTTACATTGAGTCATTTATTTTTCAGATTGCTATTCTGAAGAGCATTAATATGATTCTATTAATGTGAAAATATTCTGCCCATTTCTCTCTCTTCCCATCATGGAGGTGCTGATGCATGCTTTTATTTTTTTAGTAGACTAGATTAGTGTAATGGCCAGTTCTCTGGCCTTCTTCCTCAGTTTCTCCAGAACTCTGCAGCACGTGTTCTGACAGTGACCAGAGGGCAGGAACACATTACACCAGTTCTAAGATGGCTGCATTGGCTCCCATTGTGTTTCAGGATTCATTTTAAGGTGCTTTTAGATGTTCATAAGTGTCTTGGGCCTTATTTATCTGACCTGCTTTTAAATTAGGAGCTATCAGGGAACCTGAGCTCCTCTGGTACTGGCCTTTTAATTGTTCCTAAAGTCAGAACCAAAGCCCAAAACCTAAAACGGTGAGAGCTGGTTACACTGTTATGGTCCTCATCTGTGGAACAGCCTACCAGAGAACTTGAGGGCTGCAGAGATGGTTGATGTTTTAAAAAGAGGCTCAAGACCTACCTTTTAAACCTTTTAATTTGAATGTGTATCTATTTATTGTTGTACACATCTATTGGTATTACTATTATTAGTAGTAGTATTGGGCTTATTTTTCCTTATCTACCTACTCTTTTTTAGACTTTAGTCTGTTTGTGTGTGTGTGTGTGTGCGTTTGTGTGTGTGTGTGTGTGTGTGAGTGCATGGGATGAGGTTACGATCGGGCATGCTTTGACATTTCTTAGGTCAGTTACTCAAGTGTGTGAAGACCTGTGATTCTAATGAGTTTCTATTGTGTTTTATATAAAATGCTTCGTGTTAGTGAAAGGTGCTTTAGGAAAAAATCCATTGAAATGAAAAAAGTAAAAAAACATGGGTTATTCTGTGCATGTTATTAATCTTAATTTCCCACAATTGTTCTAAGTGAAAAATTGAGGTGACACATAAGGACGACTTAATCAATTTAGTAAAGCGAAAAAACTTTGTGTGGGAGTGAACACATAATTTATCAGATGGTTGAAGGCTCATATATCTTAGTCTACTTAACTCCACTAGAGGGTTTAAACTAGTAAATAGACCACAACGTATGACAGTCTTTATTTCTTTTGGTAGTCTAAGTAGATTTTTTTTTCAAATAAAGACAGTGTAATGTCTTATTCTGTCTTTAAATGAGTGACACATAATGAATCATAAGCTTTCCCATTTTAATGTCCGTAAACATTGAAAACTGGGTGATGGGAGGCAGAGAAAAGGGGAGGAGCCAGCTGAAGGTCATGCTGTTTGTTGGTTTGTCCACCTGTTAACACTATGGAGGTCTGATCCTGCTCTGCTGAAAATAGAGTCTCTGCCTGGCTCACAGCTGGAGCGGCCTGACACCAACCCAACCAGCGTCCACATGGATATTTGTGGTAGGTGACATATTGCTTCTTCAAGAGAGGGATGAGAAAAACCCCCCCAACACATGTCACAATATGACGCCGGGTATAGAGAGCAATTTAAAGTTAACGTCTGGAAAGTTTCCCCTGATGCAATGCACCAATCAGGAATAGAAACAGGAAGAGAAGGGCTGTTGGGGAATGAGGCCTGGTAGTGGTAAGGAGATATAAAAAAAAAGCCAAATCTGTATTGTTGATGCCCTTACAGTCATTTTAGTTTGGCTTATTGAAGTGTTCCAGTTGGCCAAAAGTACAATGACCATCGAACATGAACCGTTTGGGCTACTTCCATGGTTTCTTGGCTTGCAGACGTTCACTTCTAATTTGAGAGCAGTCACTTCCATGGCTTTGCGACTATGACTTTGAGGTGAATGTATTGCAAAAAACAGATAAATGATGAAATATTTAACGACTGAAGGTAAAAAAAAAAAAGTTATCTCCTTCCATCAAATATTTTATAACTGACTAACTTGAATGACTTAATTTCTTAGTAAACGACTGTTTCCTTTAAAAAAGTAAAATAAGATATAAATATATATTTTTTTCAAGCTTTCAAATAACTTATGTAAGTATGGAGATATGTTTATCCAAGTTAACAGTTTATTATCAATTGATAAAAAGTTTAAAAGAACTCCAAACCAAGTCTTTATGATATCTCTCTGGTTTATTATATTCTTTATAAACTCCTAAAATAAAACGTCAAATCCCCCAGAGGTTTTCAGGTTGTGTGGAATTGTGATCTCCATGGCTAAAGTGGTCTCCTGACGGCAGGAAACGGAAACAGACTCACTATTGCCCCCCATGGCCGTTAGAAATCACCATCTGTAGCTCTGACTTAACCTTACAAGCCAGATGGATTGTTACACTGAACCATCTGGGGAGCCTTTCCTTTGAAAAATACTTGGCATGTAAATGGACGAGCCATCTGTCTATCACTGTCTAACCACGACTAGCTTCAATCAGAAAAAAACAATCAACTTCTTCTTATTATATCAACTTCAAATCAAGGCTTTGAAGGCAAATCAAGGCTTTCAGACACAGTGTTTCTTCCAAGAAAAAAGTTGTTCTCCAGCAGATGTAATTTCCCTAAGCAGCTTCTGGACCTGACATAACGCTGACGTGATGACAAACACATTGGATGAAGTCATTCTATCATGATCGTGAGATTGTGGAGCTTCTGAAAATCCAGGGTTGAACAAGGAAGAACCTACTTGTTAAAAATCTCGCTTTGACTAAACAAAGACCAAATCGAGTTTTGATCATTCTTCATGGAGAGTATTTTCCATATTTATCTATAATGTGAAATACTGTGTGATGCTGAGTGATGGAAACGGTGGTCACATGCGCTGCATACTGTGAATATCTCAGGTCCATGTGAATGACATTCTGTCTGAGTGATGCCACGCCTTGGTGTTTTCTTCTAAATGCTTTGGCTTGATTGACCCATTTCTGTCTTTAAAAAAACAAAACACTGACACATCATCAAAGTGTCAGTATTCTAGGTACTTTTGATACAGTACTATATATTTTTATACTTTTTGAAACAGTCTTACAGTACAAAATGTTCTATCCTTTAGAGGAGATTTATGCTATTTATGCAGCAACTTCCACATTCACAGGCCTTGAGTAATAAAGTAGTCTGCCTAATGTATAGTTTGAATAGATTTTTACAGATACTCCCCTCAATCCACATCAGACTCTAGTTCCAAAAACTTGACCCGGCCACCTTTCTGTCTGTCTGGCCATTCAGGCAAGAACTTCTTGACTTCTAATCCCTGCTCCTCCTCTCCTAATCTGATCTCTGATGGATTATCAGTGGACCGACGAACAGCATATGTCACTGTCTGTCAAAAATGCAGTCTAATAAAGCATGTTTTGAGGTACCAGCCTCAGTTATGTAACAATCACAACATTTCTCTTTTTTTTTGTATTCAGATGACCACATGTCAAACAGCCTCATTAGAGGGATTAAGAAACTGCTTCCTGGGGAGGAAAGTTTAATGTAAGCACAAATACACATGCAGAAATGTAGTTCTGATTGAATGTCAATGACAAAACATGCTAAGTAACTGTTGTCGATGCAAAGAATCGATTGAGTTACCAAATCAATCAAAAAGCTTAATTGGTTAATAGGTAGATTTCATGGAGATAATATCTGGCCCCATAATATTTGGAGTAGGAAATGCCCATGTTACCTTGGCAACTAGTGTTGAATATGAACTGGTGAGAAACTGTAAGCAAGAAACATGATCTGAAGATGCAAAAGTACAAATATATGGACAAGGCTTGATGTCTGTTTTGTGCTTTCCGTGGATAATAATTCCTTAGATTACGAAAACAACAGTTTTCATGTCATGTCACTGTATCTGCTAAATTTATATCGTAATGAAAGTAAGAATATGTTAGCAATCCTTGCTCTCCCTTTATTTCCAATTTGAAATTGTTTTTTTGGTTTCAGCAGTAATTCTGTTAGCTTTTGCAACTGCAATGAACAAATATAGTTTCAAACTCGGCATAATAATGTTACAAATCAAAACTAGCATAGTTCATTTTATCATAAGAGGTATGATTTCCAGTTTGAGGTTTGAAAACTTGTGCAATCAGGCACTTTACCCCATACTGGCCACATAAAAACACTTACAAAGGGTTTATTTTTGCCTTTTATTTTCAGCTCCTGACATAATTTTCTTTCTGGGTGAAAGAAAAAAGTCATTGGCACTTATTATAACCATATAACATTTTACCTAACCGTAATCACCGTGTCATCATGAGCCTTGGTGAAGGTGTGAAGATGAGTGCCTCTTCATTAGCATCTTGGATCCCTGCTCTGCCACATGTGCTAAAATGTTGATCTGATTGTGATAAGTGAGAGGGAGAGGGTAGTAGGTGGCTGCCTGTCTGAAGGCAGCCAAGAGCAGCAGGGTGTGTGGGAGTGCATCTGTGTCTATGGGCATACATTAATCATACTCATCTGTTTCCATTTTCCTGTCACTTTTCCCCCCTATCACATCCAAATGTTCAATTTTGTGCCATCTCCAAGGAGAGAACAAGATGCAGTGTGGTGATACCATGTAGCTGTCTATGTATGAGTAAGAAAACTTGTTAAAGCCAGACCACTGCGGGGATTCTAGAAACGGCCAACAGCTTAAAGGAATTAAAAGATTATGAAATTTTTTTTTCTCTAAATCAAAAGCAAGTAATGTCTGGATAACAGACAACTACTTAAAGAGACTAGTTGACAAGGCAAATGTGTTTCCTTTCAGAAAGGATCTGCAAAAGCCTGTATGACATTCCTAATTCGACACATTAATTGTGATTAGCACAAGCAACCGTAGGAAAGCAAAGGTCTCCTCACCTGGTTTACGTTTTGTGTCTCCTGGAGTGGCCGAGCAGCTGAAAGGTAGAGCCCTGTCTCACAGCGTGTTCAGCATTACTGCGCCGGAGCGTGTGTGGGCTGAGAGACATTGAGAGACCGGGAAGATTGTGTGCTTTCTCTCCCCCGCCCTCTCACTCTCTCTCCCTCTCTCACTCACTCTCACTCCGGTTTAATCTGCTCACTGTGAGTCTGTCAAAGAGCCCGGCCATGTGCCTGAAATACCACTGCCAAACAATTGCTCCACAAATCCCCCCCGCTGCTCGCCCCCGCCCACCTCCTCACAAGCCAGGAGAGAGAGATAGAAGGACCCGCATGAAGACAGCTTGTGTGCAAAATACATTTAAAGTCGGCTTCCATGCGATTGATACCGATTCATGAATTCCTTATTTCCAACTACAAAACGGAAAATTGTGAGAAATAGATTTCTTTGACAAACTGCTAACTTCACATACACAATATTTAAACGAAATAAAAACATGTTGTTTCACTGACTGAATTAATTTAGTTGCAACATTTTCTGTCTGATTGAATGTGATAATCTCAATAATTATACAATGCACATTCATGAATTTTGCTTGCATTTTGCAAGTGAAATTTGACATAACTATGGTACCATCATTTAGAAAGAGTTACACATAAGAATGGTTACCTTTTCATCTCAGGGTCAACACAGATGGAAAATGCACAAATGCCCACACTTAGCACTATCATCCTTTTAGAATATTAACCCAGCATCAGTGCATTTGGACTGTGGAAGGACAGTTTAACTTTAAAATACACCCAAATCTCAATAAACAAAATGCCCCATGGTTTGGTCGTACTGTTGAAGAAGGCCAGATAAACTGTGAGACAACAATGATAGTTGACACTATTTTTGTCATATATGTATAGACTTTAAAATGAAGTATGCCATATGTTTAGTATATAGACAATGTATTCCACTTTTTCTAACACATTTTGTAAGCTTTGTAAATTAAATGTTATTTCTCTCATAGTTGGAGATTTATAGGCAATCTTCAACTTACATTTTTATAAGTTATTACCACAAGTTATAGTTACCACTATGACTTGTGATTTTATATCACCTTATGAGCAACTTTTATCAAAACTATAAAGAAAGACACAATACAGCGTATGACAAAAAATCCACATCATATGGTTCTGATATAAACTGGTGTGCGTCTTGATAAACTGGTCCATGGTGAACTGGGGTGTAGGTTTGGGTATGGTTATAATGAACTGTATTTTTAATAAACTATCAAATCCCTTCCTATTACTTTATTTTATGATTATTGTAATGCTGCTCAGTCACAAAAACAACAGAGCAGCAAAAGCACTTTTTACCTTATAATGTCTTAACAAAAAGAAGTCTGCACTTTTAAACAAAAATCAATCCATTTTCCATTTCCAATTAGTCCTGTTTGGGGCACAGGGAGCCTCTGCATAAAGACTGTGCCACAAAGCCACAAACCTTTCTTAACAGTCTATTTTTGCATGTTAACTTAATTTTTTTGTACAAAATAACTCCATGAGGGATTTTTTTAATGCCGTCGGTAACACTTTCAGTTCTTTGCTGTGCTTTCACACTAATTTAAAATCTCATAAATTGCCTGTCAGTCTCTGAGAAACCACTGAGACTGCCTGATGCAGTTCCTCTTATTGCTTTCTTAACCTGCCTCTAGAGGTTTAGAGGTATCATTTCCAGGGGGTTATCCCGGCCATTACTCATCCAAATAGTTATTGCAACTCTACGAAGATCATCTGGGCTAATTAACATGTTTCTACCCAAGGGTGAGCTCAGTGATTTTGAAACAGGGGTGGAAATTGTAATTGCTATCCTGCTTATGACTCTCTCTTTTTCCTTTCTGGAAAGGTCTGCAAAACAATCCATTTAACCCTTTAAAGCATGATCCAAGAAAAATAGGAAGAATATTGGATTTTTTTTTTAGTCTGAAGTCTTTCTTTGGCCCCTCAACAACAAATGAAGAAAAAAAACAGAAATTATTTTGATCAAATTAGCGTGCAATAAGTCAAAAATATATTTTGGTTAAGTCTTTTTTTTGTTTTTATTTTTTTTCTCTTCTTTTTTCATTTTTTTTTAATTTTTCTTTGTTTCCCCTTTTCTTTCTTTTTTCCCCCTTTTTCTCTTTTTTTTTTCTTTTTTTCTATTTCTTTTTTTTCTTCTTTTTTTGGTGTAGTCTTCTACTGGCTGTTATCAGGTGTATCTGAATTTGTACAACGGGTTTGAGCAAAGCTTTTACCACTGAATGATGCAAAAAGTCTCAGATCCAAAAGACTTCAGAAACCGTATCAAATATGACACATTTGGCATTATAGGGTTAAGATAAAACTTGCCATTTGTCTCCATATTTAGCCTTATTGTATAGGAGTAATGGAGTGTAGCGCTGTCTTCCAGCTTTTCGTCTTTTTTGTGGCGCAGTCGGAGTAGCTCTGGCTCAACAAACAACTGAAACTCTCCTGCTTTAACTATGTAAGGCACACAGACTCTGTGTCAGCGTGGAAGCCTCCAGAAAATGTTTCTTTTCCGCTATTTTCCCTCTGTAATGATTTACATAAAAGGTTTAATTAGAGAGGCTGCTGTTGCTATAGCAACATTGCTGGTTAGATTGACTAGGGAGAAGGCTCGCCGACTGAATTGATGTTTGGGGGGCACATTTTTAGTTTTTACAAATTGAAATATAATTTCCTGTTTAGAATGTCGATTCAGGAAAAGTAGTACGATTCCAACTTTGGATTTTTTTTGGCCAAATTTAGGTTTTTTGCCTGAGGTCTAAAGTATATTTTATTATAGTGCAATAAGTCAAACCTCTCTAATACTGCATGGACTTTAACCCTAACACAAAATAGGGAAAAAGTCCCAGCACCGTGTTTGATTTTAGCTAGCTAGGTGGTACAGTAACTTGGAGAGATGTCAAGTGGAAAGTTGACAACAGGTTAATCCAAATGAACTCAACAAATTTTGGCAACCTTACTTTGCAACCTTACTTTGCCAAAAATATGGAACATAACATAAACTCAAATTAGAGACGATAACAGCTATACACAAACAAGTATTTGTACATGTCCTCCTGAAGCCCTGCTGGTTGAAGCTCTTCAGGAGTTCCTTCTAGAAAATATTTTGTGGTTGAGGGCAAATGGAAAGTTTTGACTTTTATCAAAGATTATTTCACACTGTTATGCTAGAGCTCAGATATAATATACTGAAGTGGCAAGGCAATGCAAAATAAAAACTGTATATATCTTCAAACATTTTTTATGGAGCAAATCTATTTCTTTCTCTGTTTCTGTCATGGGCCTTGATTGGCAGCCTCTCCAGAGTGTCCACTGCCTCTCGCCCACTGTCCACTGGGATCCACTTCAGCCTTCCCACGGCCCCACTGGGAATCAGCGGTGTAGAAGAAGGGTGGATGTTTAGCTTTTTTTTAGTTTTCTTTTAGTTTTTCTTTTGTTCTGATTTATTCTTCTTTGTGCTTGCTGTGTTTTTCTGAGCTCACCATCCTTTACGTTCCATGTTCTTCGTTTTTATTTTGATGCTATCCATGTTCCAGCTCCCGGGCATTGCTAGTTTGTCCCTTCAGTGTTTTTCCAGTCCGGTTATTGGCTCCACTCCGTTCACCTGTGCTCATTTTCTGTCTCCACTCACCAATAATTCTCCTGTTTACTGAAGCTCTCCGGTTTCTTTGCCAGCTCCTCATCAGTTCTCACTGTTTTTGCTCCAGTTATTATCACTGTGTGGCACCGGTCTGTCCCTGGGCTACTGGCTCATCGGTTCCTTTTTTCATAGTTTCTCCGTTTAGTTTTCCATTTATTGGTAGTATTTTAATTTCTTTGTTTAGTTTTGATTGACCATATCACCCAGTCATCGTTTGTTTATTGTCTGTTTTATTTCTAAAAATACATTTAATTTGTTTTCCTGTTTCCTGTAATCCTTCCCTGCACTCTGGGTCCCCCCCCACGTATCCACCATGATGGATTCCAGCCCCTCGCAGACAGTTGTTCACTCCTGCGTGTCTCCTACAGAAACATCCTCCAAAGTAATCAGGCTTCGCTCACTCATTCAATCATTTACAGACATTTTTTTTTCATGATTTCATTATTCCCACCCTCATCATCAGCACTCCAGCGTTACTGTGGCACTGTTGGTCTCTTGCAATCCTGTTCCTATGGCAACAACTGAAGTGATGTAGAGTGTTTAGCTGCTACAGTCTAAAGATAGAGCCCTCAAAAAACAACAGTTGGGCACCAAAAAACCACAGACATCGGTTTGAATAACGGACAAAGCAAGAGAGGCTCAACGGCTGAAGTAGCATAGAATTGCTTTTTTTTTTTTTAATAACAACTGTCCCTTTTACTGAGAAATCTGTTTGGATACACAACAACACAACCATGTCCTCTTTGTTAATTAGTAGAGAAAGGAACATTTCTACCTCCAGGCTTTGCTCCCCACAGCATCCCATGTCAATGGCCAGGAATATGAATATATGTTGTTTTTTAATTTGATAGAAGTAATAGTGTGTGATTTCAGTTTAGTGTTACAGAGATCGTCGTCTACTTTTGGCACAGTTTCCTGAGTTGATCTCAGTAAATCTCAAAAAACAATTGCAATCGTGAGACTGTGTCACAGCACATGTCCTGTCGCATCAGAGAGTCTTGACAAAAGTTTAATTGCATTCAGCTTTGGAAAAGGGCCCAATGGTGAAGACTTGGGATAGGAATGGCTGATTTATCTATCCATCCATATCTATAAAACCTGTTCCTGTAATAAAGTACTTATCATCTGTATAATCTCTTTATACAGGAAACACCATTTCAAAATATCCTATATCCAAACCTTGTTAACTAAAAACCCCAGAATACCAGAAATGATGCCATTGGTAAATGTCTTTACTAGCCGAAAAATAAAATATTTCTTCCCTTTTACTACTAATTCAGCTTGTCTTGCATATTATGTACCATATTGGGATAGGAAGGACTCTGCAACTGGGTTTAAAATGATACATTTTATTTAACTTTTAAAGTGTAAAATTCCGACGCGAAATAGCAACTACCAAAAACTTATTTGGAAAACTTATTTGAAAAATGAAAATGATTTAACTTCCCGGTTTTGTTTTTTATAAGATATTTTAGGGGTTATAGTGACATCTGGTGGGTAGTCTTTATATGAACGTTATAGAATAGAAATACATTTTCTTAATTCCATATATACATTTATAGTGTCCTTGTTTGTAGTTTGATTTAGTTAAAAAATACATTTTGAAGCTTAGTAGGACAGAGCAGGACCGTAAGCACTCACAAATTATAAAGTGATTAAAATGAAAA